CTGTTCAAATAAACCTACCATTAATATTATAGACTGATCATTTCTTTGTCAGTGGGCAAACGTACAAAATCAGCAGGGGATCAAATACTTTTTTCCCTCACTGTACATGCCCTTGACAAAATGCAAACTTACACGTAATCAAATTAAATCTGCTTCATTAAAATCATTGCACCATTTGCCACATTTCCTAAACATTTACGCAGTGTATGTAACGTGTGTGCACCTTTCATTTGCTTTTCCATGCCTCGTGTGTTCCTCATAAACCGCTGCGGGATGTACGGAAGACTTTCAGCGATCTCGAGCAGAGAAAAAGCGAAAACATAATATTTTGTCTCATTTATTTTTTTTTTTTTAGGGGAGAACATGACAATGCTAAACACGGCAGACTGGGCTCTAAGCTGTAACTCGCAGGCAGTCTCTGCGAGTGCCAACCTGTCTGGTACCGGCCTCACATCCCCCGTGTGCAGTTTGTGCATCGAGTGCCGTGCAAAGCCTGAGCTTGTGCATAGAGACCCCGCTTCCCTTATACATGAAACAGCATTCCTCCCCGCGCTGCCTAATCGCAACAGCTGTGCTCTGCTGGCCGCTGCTGCCGCCGCTGCTGCTGCTGCTGCCACTGCTGCTGCTGCCACTGCTGCGTGTCCCTTAACCGTGTGCCAGAGAGAGGCTTCCCGCACGCGGGCCGAACTGCCGTGTTTTCTTTTCGTCAGAGGCCCTCTTTTGTGCCACGCTTTGTTTTCGACGAGTTTAGCGCAATGGAGTCTTGTTTGGTGAATGTTGCACCCCTGATTGGATGTGCAGAAAGGGTGCGTTATCGTTTGTGTGCGGTGTGGGGTTGTTTTGCTGTGAGAATTTTTTTTTCTTTCCGATGCTAATGTTGTGTGCCTTGCCAGCTGCTTGGACATCTGTACAAATTTGAATGAATTCAAAGCTGCTTGACTGTAAATTGCTTATAAATTCAAATTCGAACTGTGACCCTTGAAAAAAAGACGACATCGTACATCTGGTGACGCGTAGGTCTCCCAGTTTAATATTTCCATAAACAAACCAGGACTGTCATTGGCTGAGCAATTGCAGCATTCACTCTATCTCAAAATCCCATCTGATTAACTGCTTGGGTAAGAAATAATTGAAAATAACTTTAAGCCATTGTGCATGTGATGGCGCGTTCCCAAAGTCAGTTTCTCCATATTCTTTTTGCTACATTTTAAAATACTTGGACACGTGTTCCCACAGTCACGCACACGAATGCACATGCACACACATTGAAACAGCTTTTAAAACAAACATCTTCCTCTTCATACTCTTTGGTAAAGTCACATAGATCGAAAAATTATATATTCGTGACTTTACCTAAAGACCCAAAGAGTGAATTCCTGCAGTTACAAAAGCTTTAAGTCAAAATCTTCCACTTTCTTATTCGGTGAGGAGATAAAACATTAAGCAGCATGTTTTCAATATATTTATTTGTGTCAAAATGCTGCCTGAAGGCCAAAAAGGTTTTTTTTTTACGTAATGATAAGTTACGTTTTTTTTGCTTAATTTTTCAATTATACTGCCTCTGTCATTACCCCCTCTATTTGGAAGTCATTGCTTCCTCCATGAATGGCAACTCCTGGCACAGCAGACATTTCTACTTTCCGCATCCGATGGAGGGGGATTTTTTGTTGTTGTTGTTGTGAGAACTGCAGCGATTTGGGGCCAAATCTAATTTAAGCCAAATGGATGTGGGAGTTAATCAGGATGATTGAGTGAAGTGGGGGGAGAAATTTTTTCATAATAATAATAATTAAATGTACCGTCTCGGTGTAGGCAAGTTGGAAAATTTAATTTGGCAACCACATTACTTCTGAGGATTTTTTCTGTGGGGTTCTGTCTTGACACGCGAATGTTTGCTTTTTACATGGTCTAGTAAGTGACTGATAGGTTTAACAAAGGTGTAGCATGGGCAGTTGGTTCTGCCAAAACGCTGTTTACTTGAGCTAAATTACGTCACCTGTTAAGTTATATTATTTACGTAACCGACATTTACAATTAAACACATTTTTACACCTCTTTAAAATGTTTTGGATAGGGAAAATATCTATCGTTTGGCGCGCCATGGTAAATTGTTCGGAGATTCGGCAGACAATTCAAAGCTCTTTCCGAGCATGGGGCATTTAAAAGTTATGGATTTGCACAGCGAGTGTTGATCATTTGATGTAGAGACGGTCGGTGAACAAACTTTTAGTACCTTTTCAGTGGCAAGCTCCTTGGTTTTCTAGAGCTGCCGGTTTCAACTTGTGTCCAATTTTCTTACAAAGTACGGTTTGTGAAGACACCTGCAACACATGGCCAGATGAGTAGCTATGTCAGCTCTGCATCATTTATTTGGTTGCAGTACATAAGTAATAAAGCTGTTTATTTAACCAGTAAAGCCTCACCGAGTTCAAAGACTTTTTCAGTAGATCCCAACATTGGGTTGTTTGGCTAATCTCATTCACGAATGTTTCGCGTGTGGTATGGAACCGGAGTATTCTGGAGCCAACCCACATGAGGAGGTAACGCTCAAAGCTTCACAACAGATTCCAAAATCCACTGCTGTCCTCTAGCCACCTTCAGGCGGCCTCGTAGTCCAAGCCTGCAACACCCGATATACCCAGGAAGTCTCCCATCCAAGTACCACGTGGCTCAACCCTGCGTAACTTTTGAGATGGGATAAGATCAGCACAACTCGGAGTGATTTGGTCATCGGCAAAATTGGTGATTCTGTCCTCCAGCACAGTCGTTTTTTGTGCTTGTGAGCCCTATATATATAGAACATAGATGGACTCGTCCATCTAAACAAACTGTCAAATCGCTATCCGTGGTGCTAACGTTTAAAAATAAATAAATACAAACCGCCACTTCTTTCAAATATTCTTACCGTTGGTTTTCACACCTGATGATGACTGCTTGTGTTGCAGTCGAAACGTCGTGATAATTTTATTGTTTATATATTTTATTATTTTATTGTTCCCTTCAACGTGACTTTACTGAAAGAACCAAGAATATATAGCAATTGTAATGTGTATTTTTTTTCTTTAGGCCTTGTTGGTGCCAAAGAAGCTGTAGGTCTGACGTCTAATGTTTCAAGCACAACTAATTCGCATTTAATCGATGCTCTTGCTACTTAAAAAAAACCGAGAACTATATATTGGCGTGCCAAGGTGTTTGGGTTAGCTTCCAAAGAGAACACATTCACTGTAGTTCACCGATTCTGCCTTTGTGCGCGTGACGGTGTCGCGGGTACCCACGTTGGTCCAGATTGAAAACTGTCGACTTATATCGCCCCGGCACCAACTGCCACTGCAGAGAACCATCCACTGAAGCAGAAACAACTCTTGATGCAGCACGTAGCCAGCCTAATCACACCAGGTTCAAGGGGCTGTCTATCTAGCCACATTGGAACAAATGCTGCTCGAGGCACTTTGATGATTTCCCCTGGGGTCCAGCCTTAGTTTTGGAACAACTTTGTTGCATCTCTTGTGCTAAGCACTGTCCCACAGCCTAGTGAATTTGGACGTACGATTGAAAGCCACTTTCACCCTCAGCTGTGGCCGTTTTAAGAAGTCGGTATAATTACAAGCTTTACTTATCAGCGGGCGAAAGCAAAGAGAATGGATCTGTAGGTTGTTGGGGAGTGTCTCGTGGAAATTAAATAAATCTGCGATTCGCTTTCTGCATTAGTAGGAGTGTAACTATTCACCCCCACGAGATGCAATTGTCGTGTTTCCTTGTGATTCTTTTCCAGAATATATGTTTTTTCAGCTTTGTCGGGAATGACGGGGCCTCTCGGGGCTAGAGGGGTCTCGTGAAGCCATTACTTATAACGTATTCCTATCGCAAAACAACTTGATTCTTAAACAAGCCCTTCAGTCTGTCTCGTGAACTTCAGAATCGACATTAGTCGATCGGTCAGTGCATCGGCAGAGCTACGAAGTACCGAGCTGACCTGGTTTTGTCGCTTGAGGGAAATATCGGCGGGACAGTTATTTGGCTTAACACCATAACATTTATTTACTTACTTGCCTTTTTTGTTTGTTTTAAATGCACATGCATATGAATGCAGCACTTCACTTTATTATGGATAACCGGAACGATAGCATTCATTGTCATAATTAGGTCACACAGCTGTGCGTGGCATTAATGAACAATCCTGTATTCTTAGCCTGTCTCAACAACATTGCGTTGTTCACGATGGTTGAATTATATTATGGGCCCAGACCCGCTGGGCTCCTGGTATTGGTATTGTCCATGAATTCCACGCGTGTCTCAGCTTCCTCGCCGTGATCTGGGCCATTGTTGCCGTTGACACCCAACCAAAACGTTTGATGTGCAGACACCTGAATGACGAGGTAGCACACGGCGACTGAGAAATAGATGTTGTGCAGCATGTTCCCATATGGTTTAACAGCGCACACCCCGTTGACCCTGGAAAGTCTCATCGAGTCTTGAGACTCTCTTTCAGGAAGGCTATTTGACACATTCCTTCCGTGAGTTTGGCTTCACTTGGGTTGCAAACCGGAGCACCCAGAGACATCCCAAGTACTGCATGCGAGGGAATAATGCTGAAAGCTCCACACCGATGGATTCAATGATCCTTTGCGGAACTTCGATCTTTTGGCCACCTTGTAGCCCAAGTCTATTAGGCCTGGTATTCATTCCCAAGTAGTTTCCCATCTGAGTTCGAACCACACTCCCACTTTGCTTGGCTTCCTTGAGCCGATATTCGTGTAGTTTGGGAACACTGTCTACAGTATCAATGTGTACTTCTTCAAATGCAATAATACGTATCACATGAATTAAATCCTCATCTTCTTAAATTCCATGTGAAAATGACAACTTTTACTTGAAGACTGAACAGCATCATCAATTACTAGACCATATATATTTTTATGTTTTACTGCATGCAAATTGTACGGACTGACGATGCGTGTATTAATGGCCGGGAATGCTTGTTTACGTTTTCCTTCCTGCAGTTAAAACAGAACCAATGAGCAACAGTGACATCCCTGCATCCACAGGAGACGCCTCGTTAGACAGCTATTCGAGTTCAGGTGTGTGGTCACAAATGCCGTTATTCTTATATCCATCATAGTCTGTCGGCCAAAGCAGAAATTGGTACCATCTAAGGTAGCAAAATGGTAGTACCGCCAATTTATTTATATATTGCTAATAATAGTGGATGATTAAAGAACGCAATGATCTTAAATGGTTACCAAATAATTCACGGTTGTTGGCGGCATAAAAGAATTGGAACCACTGATGGTACCACCTGAGGTGGCATATCTTCAAAGTGAAATATCTGGTCTGGGCCAACCTCCCAATTAGCACGGTTGGCTGCGTACGGTGCGAAAGAAGTTCAACAAACATACATACATACATGGACCATAGTGTACAGCAGGGCGAGACTTGAGGTATTAACATTGGAATCGCACAAAGAAGAATCCTGATGCTTATATGAATCATCTAACATGCAATAATCAGAATAAATCACAATTCTTTGAGTAATTTCTTCGTTCTAGTTACCGTGTATGCTTTCCGGCAGATTCCTTCAGAAATACATTGCTTTAAAGAAAGATGCAATCCAACAAACAAATATATTTGTCGTTGATGCAACAGATGTTGATTCATAAGCTTTGTTAATCGTAAGAAAAACACTTTAAAATCAAGGACGGGTGCATAGCACTTGATTGATATCACTGCAGTGGTACGGTGTGATGTCAGTGTAATGGTGGACATCCTCATATATATACTTTATTTCACTCTTGTCTCACTGACAAAGCTTCAATGTTATATTGGAAAGGCCCAGCCAGTTGCCTGCTTATTACAACACAGTGCAGACACTAAGATGTCACTCACAAGCGCTGGACATTATGTGGCCAGGGGCACAGCCACAGTCCAGAATGTTAATGTAGCTGTTTCCACCTATTCACCATCGCACATTTGTCCCTGCCAAAAACGCCGGGAGTCGGGCAAAACGAGCGTCTGCCCGGTTAAGTAACGAACGGCCGATTGTTCGTTCAACCGTCCACTGAGCCCACATGTCGGAGGGGGATTTGTATTGCGCTGAATAGTTTCAAAGCTGAGGATCACACATTTGCAGTTCCGGTTGGATTGGCTTGGCGTTTGCCCGTGGTGCGCACGCAAGCGAGAGCGGAGAGCGCGAGAGACGCCCACCGAGTGTTAGGCGGCTAATGGAAATAGCCGCGAAATCATTGCACGCCGGGCGCAGATGAGTGGGGATTGCACTGCAGACCCTAAAAGTCGCCGCCGAGCGTTCCGCCGCCGCCGCCGCCTCCTCCTCCTCGGCCGCGTACCCTCAGCTGCCCGCAGCTTTGATCGCGCACGTTTAGGAGCAGCCTTAGCATAGCAAGGTTTTATCCCTGAAAAAATAATTGGAACGTCTCCTGGCGGGTTTCTGCGGCTGTGCAGTTAATTTCCACACGCTCCCCCCCCCCCCCCCACACCCCCACAGTGGCGCAGCTCTGTTTATTGATTATATCGGTTCAATGGGTGCTCTGTTGAGCACATTCTTTTAAAATAAATACGTGAAATACATAATAATATGTAGATCATTATACGTATGTCACTTGCATGTTCGTTCGCAGGGTTAAATTGTGGACTGCAAGTTGGTGCTGTGAACATTAAAAAGCCACGATTAATTTTATCTGCATCATTAACGTGTTGTCCTCGTAGTCCTTGCAATTCCGCAGGGCTCTACGTAATAATCTGTTGGCCACATTGTTTTACCCGCAATAATTTTCTTGACTGCCGAGTGCCGCATGCTACCGTCGATTTAGTGCTACGTTTGATTGCTTTTGAGAAATGAGACCCTAAAAGAAACAAATGTTGAACTATGTGCATTTGGCATATAAGCTGTGATTTTCTGCAATGAAAGGGCGCGGACCTTTGTTGGCAGTTAAAACCAGAATCGTTCAGCTTTGCTCTTGGGAAGGAGGTCCCAGACTCGGTTTAATTCTGTGATTTTTTTTCTCCTTTCCTTCATTCCAAACAGCTATCGCCAGCAGCGGCTACAGTCCAAGACAAACACACCAGTATTCCCCGCAGATTTACTCATCAAAGTAAGGGCCACGCTTGCTTTTCTCTTGGTGCACTTGAGGGGTTTGTGCCCCCCCTTTTCAAGCCTCGGCCTGTTGTTTCACAAAGATAAAGCGACTAATGGTATTCCAGTGGTGTCTAAGACTCCAGTGCACTTCTGAACGGGTTGCATGAAGCTTTCTATGACAAGTGATGCTCATAAAGATTAACTGCTTTTGGCAATTGTATTTTGACGTGTTGGCATGTTTCAACAACGAAATTCTGTGTGTTATAATGGCTAATGAGTTTGGCAGTTGGGTAGCAGCAGCGGGCTAGCAAATGCCCAACAAAGTGCTGCTCCATTTAATAATGTAATGTTTTGTCCAGCCCTCTGTCAATCCACTGCTAGATGAAGGCCTCCCCTCCACTTGCCTTGCCGGCCATGGAGGTTGTTTGACCATACGTCCATTGCTGGTCAGTGTTGTTTTGGTGAAGGTTGGTGGTGGTCCAGGACCATTTGAGATATTGCTCACCACTTATGTTGGTTACAGGGTTCATAGCACAGTGTGCGAACCACTTCACTGCTGCATTTCTCTCTAGTGCGATAGATTAATTGATCGATTCAATGCCATTTGGTTAAATAAGCTCTGTGAGCATATTTTTTATAAGAGCACAATGATATAGAAATGCTTTGTTACATTAACCAAAAAATGCACGTAGTCGCGCACGTTTGCCCATGTTTAGAATTTAAGAAAATAACTTTAAAAATGTAGTTCTAGCATAGCAAAATATCACTTTGTCTTGTTAATTATTATTATCCATCTTGTCAGCGTGGTGTGAAAAACAGCACATGCACCCAATACAAAAAATTCTAAAAAGGGAGAAATTAAAAGCCCTCAAGTCTAATAATAGAACCATATTGTCCATTACTAATTGGATACAGGCTACCGTATTACACAAGGGCATTCGTTCCCCGCCGAATATTTGGCTCGGCGTAAAGATTTTTAGTTTGGCGAGGGGTTAAAGGTCACATGCTTAACTTCAAACAGTTGCACACAAAAAATGTAGTGGAACACCCCGAGTCTCCTCGGCCAGCTGTGACGTTGACTGATGCCAGGTTTTTCTGCGCGCGTCCGACTTGTTCCAGTAGCAGGTCATACCCCCACATTCTGTCAGCACCACCCGCCCAGCCCATGGCTACCTACGCGGGGCAGCCGCAGTACCCAGCGGTGATGGCCCAGGCCGCTCCCTACAGCACGTACACGCAGCCCGGGCAGCACTATGGTCTGCCGTCGTACGGTGAGCATCTCTCCACGTCTCTGTCCGGTGTGCCTATCGGGGTTGTGCCGCGTGTGTTGTATGGCGCGATGCCCGATAACGTCCGACGTTTCCGCTCCATGTGCCGCCGGGAGCTTCTTTGGGGAACCATTTTGTGTTCCGTTTTAGGAATAACTCGCTTCCTTTTGTTGTGCATCGTGACCGCCGGTGTTTTGCTGCGCGACCTGGGAGCTTCTGCGTGGCCCGAATTGTTCAGTTCAGGAACAATACAACCCGAAAACACGTTGGACAGACAAAAGAGCATAACCGCGAAATCCTACGCGGTGGCATCTCTCAGAGTCTCTCCTGTCCAGCCAATGCCAGCACGATTGCTGGCACGACTACACACGTGACCCGTGGCTGGGAGAAGTGGAGGCTGGGTCCCCGCTCTGCCTTTGTTTTAATCGTGATTTTCAGTGAGGGGTGCCGCTGCTTTTGCGGCCAGAAATGCCAATGAGACATGCAGTTTATGTCGATCGCCGACCACCTCCCCAGCGACTGACGCCGAGCCGTCGCTATCACGTTACAGTTAAAGGCATGTTTATTAAACGGTGGTAATTAAACGATTGGTTGAACGAGAACATTGTCTTAATTGTGCAAAGTTGATCGTGTCATTCGAATATTATGCCGCTATCATCATTTGTGTTTTCACCGAGAGTTCAAATATTACTGCAAGTGCAACGTTCGGTGAGACAAATTGACCGAACTTAAACATACGAGTTCATAAATGCGTGTTTCGTCATGGTTTATTTTCTTTTGTTACCGTTTATAATAAGGAATACAATCAGTCGCTGTTCTTTTTAACAGAGACCTGACCGGTACACAGAACAGCTCATCCACTGTTAAGGGGAGAATATAAACTGTGATCATACACTTTCAAATAAGAGCAGCCATTTGCCAAGGATGCAATGTTAGCTTAGGAAGAAACTTGTTCCAAGAGGCATCCAGAAGAGAGACGAAGCTGACGTAACAACTTCAGACATTGTACAAGCAAGGTGGAGTGTGGACATAGCCAACACGGACGGGTGGTGGAGAGTGGCTGAAGATGATTAGTGGCTATGATTGTCGACGACGAGGATGATGGTTGGCGACGTGGACTTGTTGGTTGTGCAAAATATCAGCTGATGCACTGTGGGCAGGGATCAAGACGGAGGGCGGTTTGCTGCAGGGTCAGACGGCCGGCCAGGCGGGCTACCTCACTACGTACGGAGCTGGCTTCAGTGTGCCCCAGCCCGGACAGACGGCATACTCGTATCAGATGCAAGGTCAGTATTATTTGAGCGTCAGCAATAATGATGATTAGTATATGTTGATGATAAATAGAATAAACGACCCAAGCCACCTTCGTCTATGGTGGACAAACCCCCCCCCCCCCCCAATGACGAGTAAAAATGTGCAGTCGTTTAATCAATGTGTCTCACTGGTATCATTGCTGGGTGGGGGTGCGGGGAGGAGGTAAGGCATGGTGGCATCAATTACATTTGCGTCTATTCGTGTATTTACGTTGCTTCAATTACATTTGCATCTATCCGTGTATTTGCGTGTATTTACGTTTGCTGCACGTGAGCTCAGAAGCGGCGAGTCTTGCAAAGTTGACGCCGTGCCTGAAGTTAGGGTTACTGCTCCTTGGGCCCGATAGACGGGCCGCACCATTTGGTTTGAATTCTTGTAGGTGGGTAGGTTTTGTTGGGATCGGCTTGAAGCTTTAACGTCATGTGGTGACTGCTCTCTTGAGTATCTGCGGTAAATATTGAATGATTAAAACCTAAATATCATCGCCTTCCTCAACAACGAGCATGTTAAATTTCGATTTAAAGCTTTCGTGACTGCAGGGATTCATCTTCTTGGTTCTTTCGGTAAAGTCACGTAGAATGGAAATACAATAATAAAAATAAAACATTTTATTATGTTTTATTTGTATTATTTTATTTCCATTCTACGTGACTTTACAGAATCAAGAAGACGAGCATGTTGCTTTGGGGGGGGGGGGGCGTTGCCATATTTAACCATTGTTGAAATTCCTTAATTTCACACTGCAAAGCAGTGTGTCCTAAGAATTGTATAGAATTCACCTTTAATTTGGTGTGTATTTCACTTTTGTACGTTTACAATGAAGTGATCTGTTCAGATTTCCACATGGCATGGTGGTAAGCCTGCAAACGGATCATGACTCAGATGTATTTTTAGACGTTTTTTCCTCGCTGCCAGACGTAACGCTTATTAATAGCAGAGCTGAGACGTAAGTGCATCAGGGAAATTCGATAAAAGCACCTCTTCAAAGTGTGCAGTCGGTGACATATACAGTATATTAGTGTAATATTTAAAAGGAACGTTTTTTCACCAAAGCAACATGTGCAATATTGCCACACTAGGAGAGGCCTTTTTTTAGCGCAAAAATTTAATACAAGTGGGGAGAAAAATAAAAATCTGGACTGTGGTGCTCAGGGTGTAAGGTATAAAATCCCAGCGGGTTTCCACTATGACCAACCCTTGTATATCGACGTGGAGTTTAAAGCCTAGGCAATGAAACTCTGGACGTTCCGATGCAGCCAAGAGGTACACACATGCCCCGAATGCAGCACACATGGCGCCTCGCATCCCCAGCCTCTGTTTTCACGTGCGCGTGCCAGATTGTCGCAGGTGCGTTTTTGTTGCAGGCCCTTATAAGCGGCGTGGCCGCGAGTTTTGTTATGCTTGAGCTGTGCCGTCGAGAGAGTCACTTCTGCCAGGGTTACGTGTCTTGTTGACGCGCGCAAAGCAAGAGTTTCAGCGTCGGCCTGTGGGACGATGGATGGGGGGGGGGGCCTCTTTATGCCGCCGCGCCGGCATAAAAAATAAAATAAAAATAGCACCGCGGTACGTTTTTACGTTTCCACAGTTGCGCTCTATAACTCTCTCCACCGGGCTTTCGTGTCGTACCGCCTGGTTGTTCGGAATGCCGTCCGGCGTTTCGCTCCCGAGAGCTGGGCACTTCCATCGTGCCGCACATCACACAGCACGCACCTTCTATGGAGTGCTGCAACTGCCGACGCTTGCTGCGACGTTACGTTCAAAATAGTGAGGGGCCGCCATCGTCGAAAGAAGGGACATAGCAGGACATGTCGCCATTGTTGGCCCGGAAGCAGTGGTGTAATTTCTGTTCCCGTGAAGGTGACCAGTCTGTCCACAGGAATGCCACTGTTGGCTTCTCATCTAGTGATGGAGCCTCCCGAAGCGGGACTCTTTTACTGACGCTGGTGACATGATGGGTCAAGTTGACCCCCGATCGGCCGTATTAATTCGAATATTGAGTCCCAATTGCTCTGGCGGTGGAGTTGTGTCGCAGGGAGATATTAATTACATTATCCCGCCTTTCAGTAACAATGCATGCGTAAGCAAAGTGGTACTCGATGTTCATCTCATGTCTGCCAAAGTATACCAATATTGACACAATGGGACCTTTCTTTTATACATATAAAAAAAAATATTTGGAAACCTTTGGCTATTTTAAAATATTTGAAAGAAAAAGGTTGTTTGTCGCACACCCAGCTGTGCTAACGTTTCATGCTAGACTGGAGGACGAGTTTATTTAGTCGCATGAACAAAAGTGTAAAGGGATAACGAGTGTAGGACTGTAATGGAGGCAACAAAAACACATGAGAGAAGCCCCCCACGCTCTTGACCAGCTGGTGTAGTGAGAGCTGTCTGAATCCCATTGGTCAAGTGGCATAATTAGCGGTTAAGTTTGTCATAATTCCCATGAAAGTAAAAATACTCGACTTTGTAAAATTTAAAGACGTCGACTGTGTATACATCTCGACTTAAAGCCTTCGTGACTGCAGGAATTAATATTCTTTGGGTGTTTCGGTAAGGCCACATAGAAAAATAATAAAAATCTGACGACGTTTCGATCGCAACACAAGCAATCGTCATCAGGTGAAAAAAACATTTGAAAAAAATGGCTATTTAAATTTAATTTTTTTTTAATATTTGCTTCACCTGATGACTATTGCTTGTGTTGCGATCAAAACGTCGTCATATATATATTTTTTATTTTTCTATCTACGTGGATTTACCGAAAGACCCAAAGGCATGTGTACACATTTTGAATTAAAGAGGTGGAGAGCAGTGGCGCACGACACTATGAACCTGAGAAAACTTGAGTTTGATTCCAAGCCATGGCTAACAATAGTAACGTGTGCGATAACTGAAACAATCCAAGCCCCCCCCCCCCACCTCTCTCCTCCACCTTGCCTTCACCAACCCACATTGACAGGCATATTGAAGTATGGGCAATGTTTTGGGGATGTTTTTTTTACCCAGGAGTGGATTGACATTAAGGTTGTACATTAGTTTATTATGTACTAGCTGTACTACCCGGCTTCGCCCGGGACTTGGATCCACCACGCCCGGCCGCCTTTGTCTCCCCAGTGGCGATGTTCACACACCACAGCAGTTACTCGTTTTGAGGCTGAGTCGACCTAGGGAAGGCCCAGGACCGGTTAAAATAATCGTCACTGGTGGTGGCCGTGAGCGGGAATCGAACTCGGGTCGCCGGGTTCGTAGCGCGGCGCGCTAACCGCTACACTACAATGCGTTACGCTTCCACGTGTGCGGGTCACGTGACGGATTTGACGTCACAGCTCACTTGCCGTACAAAAAATAAATGCATTATTGAGCTCCCCCCCCAAAATAAAAACCCACAAAAGTGTATTTTAATAATGTTTGCATGGTGTACAGTCTGGAAAGTACCCATATGGCAAATTTCAAGTTTGTTGCATGTCGGGAAGTACACTAAACATTTTGAACCGACACACATTCACAACTTTGCCTTTTATATAAATGGAGATTATATTTATTGCATTTTCAAAAACCTTTGGGGTTTTGGGTGATTTTTAGTTTTAAACAGCTCACAGAATGTTTAATTTTCACTTTTAGTTTAAGCTGCATAACGTGGTTGTGCAATGTTATTAAGTGATTATCAGGTAACACACTGAGTTGGCAAATTTTACACATCAAAAACTTGTGTTGGGAATTTTCATCGTGTTAGTTTTTTTTAATTTTCATCGCGTTAAAAAAAGCGTATTAATATTGGATATTAATGCGGGAAGGCGTCACAAAAGTGTCCAAAGACTTTAAAAGAGGGTTCTTCGTGCAATGTTTGGCCGGATTCATCAGCGAGAGGAGTTTTGCACGTCTGAACGAAACCGGAGAAAACCTTTCGGTAAAGTAACGTATGTAGAAATAAAAAATAAAATAAACCACGACGTTTCGATCGCAACACGAGCGATCCTCATCAGGTGGAACAACCACAGCAAGAAAATGCTGAGGTTGTGCGGGAGAGCTGCCGTGGCAAGAGGTTATATAGGTAAGAAAGGGGGGAGGAGCAATGGGGGAGAGAGAGAGGGGGGGGGGGCAAGTGGGCGGGGCTACAAGTGGGCGGGGCTACAAGTGGGGAAATCTGCGCGCACACAAGGAGATGACATTCAACAATTCACGCGGATGGCCTGGCAACGCATGTGTGTTGTGCTGCCTTCCGCGACTGCCATGTGGGGGCAAGGTCTAGTGATGATGGTAATAAAAGAGCATTGTTGTGTGCGTGGCACAATCGGGCACGTATAATTGTGGAGCATTTAAAATCTGCGTGGTGGTTTAATATCAAAGCTGCTTTTGTGGCCCCCTACCCCCCCCCCCCCCCCCCCCGCTCGCTTGTGCCTTTCGGAAGGGTTGCGGTGAATGTGTTGACGGCGAGGGGGTTTTTTTAGACATTGGCTCATCTGCATTTTCGAACGGGGGGGGGGGGGGGGGGGGGGGGGGGTGCGGGGAAGCATGCCATTAGCACACACTTAACACGTGCAAGGCTGTGGGGAGAGAGGCCAGTTTACGTAATGAAATGTGAGCGAGAAAAACATCTCTCTCTCTCTCTCTCACCCCATTAATTGGGAACAGTCCGGTGGCCCCTAGCACTAATATAACGTCGTGCACATTTTGTTTTGAAACCACCCGTTGTCTGTCGAGGTTGCGGTGTCCGTGCCAGCTGAACCCGATCCCGCGCGCGTAATGTTGCCGCTCACACCGCGAGATCTCGTCGCAGATTATTTGAACCTTTTTTTAGCATTTGTTCGTGCGTCGTCAGAATGTGGGGGGACCTGTGTGAAGCGAGTAGCCGAGGGAGAAAAGGTTTCTATATGTCTACAATACCGCGTTCTGTAAATGCAACGGTTTGTGGATAGCGAGTATTTCCAAGGCAGTTTTCCTCCCCTTAAAATAGCCGCTGGCTTAAAAT